GGGACAAAAAGAGCTAGCAAATGCTTTTAGAACTACCATCTTTTGCCTGTATTTTCCTTTCCTTGAAGGACAAAAGCTGAGCATTTCAAGATGAAATTACAGTTGTTCACGCTTGTTCTTATCACAAGTCAAGAGAAAGAATGCACATTTTTCATACATTACTTTGTCCAAGCGCATAATGGGATTATTTTACAAAAAGGGAACAAAATGTCACTTAATTCACACCTTTACAGATTTTTGGAAGAGCCAAATCTGCTTTGATTAGAAGAGTTTTTACTACAACAACGAGAGTTTTTACTACAACTTTAACAACAAAATGAAGGAACACCCAGAAGTTAAAAACAACCTTCCTTTTCCCTTTGTGCTAGGTTCAAATTTCCAGAGGACTCATTCCACAGGACTCACTGTGACTGGCAACAAATACCTCAGCCAGGCAGAAAACCAGATTTTCTTTAATTCCACTGTTTTGACAAAAGTCTACCTGCCTGCAAGCATGCAGTTTCTTTAAGCGAAGTAAACTCGTGATCCACACACAAACCAGTCAGCGATGTCTTCATTGCCATCAGAAGTAACAGAGAATTACTAGCAAAGCCACAAGAAATAGTTCATAACGACACGAGGCTTCACTGATCTCTAAACAGCCATTATCTTCCTCGCGAACACAACTCAAAATATCTACCTTGCGATTTAGACTCTGCAGTTCCAGATATACCTGGGCTTTCAGAGGCGAGATGGATGGCAGTGTTAATAGGCACTGGGAACCCTCCCTTGCCTCTGCAGACAGGCCATCCCAGCCATTAAAACAGAAGACGAGAGTAGATTGAAGTTGACTTTATTCCAAAATATGTAATAATTTACAGGAGTAAAGAAGTGCTTCACTGGTGAACAAAATGTTTCAACACTTGTGAATAACTTACTAGTAGCTTTATGTAACATTTCAGTTTCCAAGAGAAGGAAATATGAAACAGTATTTTGGCACAGGGATTTCTTTGCATGCATTATACTAAGAAGTTTCACAATTATTAAGACAACATTCCTTCTTTGGGATTGTCACTTGTAAAATAGGTTTAAGAAATGAATACTTGCTTTTTTTTTCCATGTTCATTGCAAGTTTATTGGCTTAAATAGCAAGAATCAAACACAAACATTCTTTGGAAACTAAATTCCTCCACTAGATGAAAATCTGACCAGTGATGAGAAGAAAAACATTTTAAGGACATTCCTCAGCCTTAGTGAGATTAGCTCACACATGCTTTGGGAAAGACTCATCCAAGAGACTTATTACTCATCCATTGCAAATAATTAATTTAAATGAGATGATAATTGAGTGTTCAGTTCTGTAAGCTGAAAAATATGGCTGTCTTTCATATCTAGCTTTACTTTATCAGATGCCCTTGGAAGTACTGTGTATGTATACAGAACTATGGTCAAGGGAGCTCTGCATGCAAGTGCTTGATGCAGGCGCGGAAAGCAGTACTCGAGGTGGAACAGGGGCTGCACAGTTTGCATCAGCACAAGTCATCTATGATAGTCCATTGCTAGTATTGTTGAAGATACTGCTAAAAAGCCAGGGTAGGGAAAAAGCAGAACTTCTGCTGTTTAACTGAAGATCAGTGACTCCTTCAGGAATTTCCAGTATTTCAAGGCTCTCCAATGGCATTTTTAGTGATGTGGAAGAGTCGCATACACTAAGACCTAACCTAACATCAACCTGACTGCAAGGCAATACAGAGTTGAATGGTGCGACTCCTGGATTCTGTTCATTGCATAGCAATGGCATTTAAACAGGACAAATTCAGTCATGCTCTGAGCAGCAAATCCTTCCAGCAGGCAAACTTTGATTCACAGCAACCTTTAAAAAGAAAACTAAAACAGAAGTTGTAAGTTTGCACAACACATTGGAAAAGCAGCTTGCTAACACTGAACAACCTTATAATGTTCATATAAAACCATAAAGGGAAACCTGTTCACAGCAGACCTAGTCTATTAGGAACACAAGCATAGCAGCACCTTATGACAGTGAAAAAGCTGCAAGGCCCGCAATGTTAGCAGTGTTTTGGTGTGAAATATTTGGAACAGTAAATTGTACATTAAGATCATGTTTTTAAAACATGTCAAAAACAGATCAAAGCCAAGGAAGCAAACACCTTAATGATAAAGGCAAATAAAAGTTTGGTAAACTTCTGAGGTGTCAATAACAAATACTCATTTGCAAGTTGAGCACCTTATATTGATTCAACATACATTAGTCTTATAATTTGCTTGTCCAATGCTTGAAAGGTTAGTAAAAAAAAAAACCAAACTGAAATCTGGATCCTGCCAACACAGACAGCCCATCACCTATTCTCCCCAAAACAAGCAGGGGAGCACATGTTAAGAGGATAAGGACTGGCAATAGTGGAACGGGGCTATCTTTGCTCACACAAGAGTTGTTCCTGCTGTCCCTGTACTCCCAAGGTACATATGGGCAGCAGGGAAATTCTGCTTTCTGTTGTCAATAAACAAACAAAGAGATCGAGCCTAGAAATAAAACTGTGTTAAGGAGCATTAGTTGAGTACCCTGCTATGTGACAGACACCAACTCAGTTGTTTCAAATGAGGTTTCACAAAGCTTGTTTTACAGCTGTTCACGTAACACTTCAGAGGAGAAAATTCTCTGGACATGACTTTGCATAGCTGAGAATGTATGGAGTTAAAAACCTCCAGCTTTAAATTGCTGATCTCTCTCAGGCTGGCATGAAAATTTGAGGGGGAGGTTTCCCTCCCTACCAAAGCAGCGAGAAGCATTTACAAACACCTCAGCATAAATAGATGCAAATATAAGTAGAAACACACATCCACGGCTACGCCAGTGCTTAGCACGAAGAGGCAAACACGGAAGGCATCAAGACAGACCTCGTTTTTCAGTTGTTCTGTGCTTATGTTCTCACAGACTGTGAAAGCAACGTGTCCCAGATTTGCTTATATTTCACTTCTGCTTTGTATACATGTATCTTGAAAAGGGAACACGTTTGCCTGTGATAACAATCAGCATTCTCTCCAAAGCCCAAAGTTTCAAGTCATTCAACTCAATTTTGCATACACACACATGTGCAAATAGCCAACGGTCTCAAACCTGCCGCTGTACTAGTCTACCAAACAGGCATAAAACATACTCATTTTTCCAGAAAGGTACATTTAAGTGTTCAACTTAAATGTATATAATTGCATTATTCTTAAGAATTACAAAAAGTCTGCCACTGCTCTCTTTATTTTCATCGATTCAAAGAACTGTACGACACTGACACCATGTTGAGTTTGGATTACTTGGAACCAGCTGGATCCATTAGATGGCTCAGGCGGCAAATCCACCTTTCCTGACCAACTCGTCCTGGAGCACGGCAGCCTCAGGAAGGCTGAAATCACCTGGATGTATCACAGAGCCACAGGAGGGCTGAGGCTGGGAGGGACCTCGAGAGACCGTCCAGTCCAACCTGCTCAACAGGGACACCCAGAGCTTCCTGCCTGGGACCATGTCCAGGCTTTTGAGTAGCTCCAGGGATGGAGACTCCACAACCTCTCCGGCTACAACGAGACAAGGAAATTTTTTTTCCCCAACAACCAAATGAACCACAAGTCCAGGGAAGTTTTTGAAAACTGCAGGCTTCTCAGCTGCAATAATTTGTTAACAGCCTCTACAGAGATTTCTCATTTTTCTCTGAAGTTCTGGACTGCTCTCTTTCTCAAACTGCTGAACTTGGTGAACAGCAGGTTGATACATATTGGCAAATCTCAGTGTTTTTCTTTAAATAATAAAGAAAAGCTCAAATGATCCTACAAAACTATGGAGTGGTTTAATATTAGAGCACTTGAGATGCAACAATCACAGCATAACTTGGAATTAAAAAGGAAGTGCAAAGACTAAGAGCAAGTAATGTTAGTTACCACTTCTAAATAAAAATTTGTGCTAAGAGGCTACAGAGAATCTGATGTTGCCTTTTCTATATCCTACATCAAATGGCAGTAAGTATACACTACTCATTTAAAAAATAGTAAAATAACAAGTCACTATTGATTCATATAATAGAGACAGTGCCTTGAAAATCAAATCAGAGACAAACTGGAAGAAACAGACAAAAAGGAAGATACATATAACCTTATTACTACTAAGAAATAGTTGACTAAATTCTACAAATCTACAAACCATTTAATTTTGAAGAATTACAAGTATTTAGCAACAATATTTCAGGTCAGGTTTCATTCGGTTCACACTGGATTCAACAGAACTATGGTCAGATTGCAATTTTTGCATTTTCTTCATATTAAATAAAACCTAAATGAGGACATGTGCTAGCAGTCTAGAATCCAAAATATTTTCTAATACGTATATATATATATATTTTTTTTTAATAAACAACTCATTGGAAATCAAATATGTGAAGAAATTCATCTTGGTCAAAATGAACAAATTCTATAAGAAAAGCAGGTCAGTTTAACTGCTTTCTCCACGCAGCATTTTCACTCGATAACTTCATGCTGTGGCAGTGTGCTAACCTAATTAAATTTAGCCAAAGGAGGGAAATGGTATTTTTCTACTCTAACAGCACACAGAAAGCTCATAAACACTTTTATTTATAAGATAGAATGAACGTAGGATGATCTGTAAAGATCTGTGGGCATAAAACCTTGTTTTCTTTTTTTTTCCTCCTGCTAGTCACAGATATTAAGACCTTTGGTTTACATGTTTAAAAAAAAAAAAAAAAAGTGACTCTCATTCTGACTTGTAAGTTAGCGCCAAGGCTGTGCAATGCCAGCTAACATCTCAGGTGGCTACGGCTGGAATGTGAAACCTTCTGTAATTCTGCTCCTCGTCAGCGGAGATCCCTGTTACCTCTTTGGAGGTAACAGTTTCTCACCTCTGCCTTCTACAGCTGCAGAAAACAGCTCTCCCAGCTGTCTGTTGCCTTAATCCAAGAATTGGATTTATAACTTCCTCCTCTTCCCCCAGCTCTGCTTCTAAGATCTGCAAATCCAGACATTGAGAAACTTGGGAGGAAGGAGGGGCTGGAACAACATTTACCAAACACAAAGCCACTACATTCCTGAGGGAACAACAAGGTTCCTTCGTGCAGCTTCTTGACCTAAAGATTCCAAGCCCTTACCTCGAAATAATGAAAAACAGGATACAAGCTTCTAGGATAATTTACACAGATGGTCTCAAGGGTTAAGTACAGATTCTTACCATGTTGATTTAACTATGACAATTTAGAAAGGGACAGGAAGTGCCAAAGAAGCCGAAAGATTATTTTCATTTCAAACAGAAACGTTAAACTACACGAGATGAGTAACTACCTCCCATAGCCTTGAACTGAGGCCACAACACACAGCAGAGCACAGTGAACCTTCAGGAACTAAGGCTTGGGCAGACATCACAGGCAGCCAAAAGCTCCCCCTCGACACCGGGAGGTCAGGTCTGTCACAGGCCAGGAGCTCTGTCATTTAAGGTAATGAAAACTGGAACTTGTCTGAGAGAAAACTGGGGCCCTCCAGTTTGTGGCTATTTATAGTGAAAGATAAAAAGCAGTTAAGGCCAAATCCAGGTTACATTCACAATTGGCTTGTTTTTTTTTTTTTCCAGGCAATTGGATTTACCACAAGCTTGGTACAGGGCTAGGATGAACAGGAAAACAAAACAAAACCCAAGAAATCATGTATTTCTCTTCAACAAATTACTGTTTAAATTTGATTTAAGCCAGAAGACTTCCCAAAGAACCACTGGCAATGAGGGTTGCAGATCACCATGCAAAAGCAGGACACACTTCCCCCCAAAGGGCTGGTCTCCCAGCTCTCCTTTACAGGTTCAACATGCTGTTGCTTTCCCGAAGCAGATAGTCCAAGAGTCCATGTGAAGATGTATTTTAGAGAATTTCCCATTTCTAAAGACTTTTCTTAAGGTAATGGTAGTATAAACCGTTATGAGATTTCTCAAGCTCTGCCTTGATAGAACTAGGGGATTTTCAGTAAAACAAAATTATTCCAGTCTTTCAGGCACACACATTAGTGTCTTACAGTCACAAATGATTTAAGCAAATCCCTCCTAAAAAAAATATTTGAGCACACAAGTTGAAGGGCAGCATGCTAACGTTCCCCCTAACTGTGTATCCCAAGTTCTTTTCCTACCCTTCAGAAGGGCATCAGTGCCACTTGAGAAGAAAAAAAAAAGCTATTGCTTTCTACATATTTTTAACAATAAATATATTCAAGAGTCTACATTAATAAAGCTATCGAAGAATCTTGCTGAAGAGTGCAGCAAGTGGAATACATGGCAACGAACAGATACTTCTGGGTATCTACAAATGAGGGAATAGGACCAAATCTAGACTGCTTGGAAAATCTCAGCTTACCCAGGAGTAAGAGCTGTGAAGGCACAGAATAAGTCAGCACGGCTTATACTGGCAAATCCAGGCCAAACGTAAGAGAAAAGTGGCTGAAAAAAAGTAAACACAAGTAACTTACACTAAGAGAACCCTTCCCCATAAGTTGAGGGAAGGATCTGAATCAGACAGGCCAGTTTTTGGTCCAGAACACTGGAACACTCTCTCTCTATATATATATATATACATGCCCGAAATAAACAGATACGGGAAAACTTCAGGGTTTCTTTTTTTTTCAGCTTAAATAAAAGCAGCATCACCTTTGCAAAGAAATTTGAGCAAACATAGGCACCACAAATGGTTAAGGTTCAAATGTACATTAACAAGTTACAAAAAGAAAACAAAAAAACCCAAACACACACACACACATTTATGCCCACAGGGTTTATGTTGAAGTCCCACATTCAGCAGGACACCTTCAGCATGAAAAGCCTCTTAGGCCAACTGCACACAACAACTACATTCAGCAATGTGAGTGGATAACCTGCTCGATCCACCTCTCCCACCCCAATAACTTAATTTCACAGCACAGGCAGCAGTTCTGTGGCACAGCACTTAGTGGCTGGACTTGTCAGAGCTCTGAAATAAGGAGCACAGTTCTTCACAGGTCTGTGTTTCTACCGAGCTGAACTGGGACTCCATCGTATTCCAGGCTAAGTCAGCCAGAAGAAAGTCATCCATTGCTGTCTGTGTCTCATTGCTAGTGAGGAATAAATTCCCCAGGTTCTCAAAGCAACTATCCATAGTCTGTGTTTCAGCACTGTTCAGCTGGACTTTGCTTTCTATGTTCTGGCTAGGTATAGTTTTAGTGGCAGGATACACTTCTGTCTGGGTTTCCGTATCGGATGAATCAGTACTCATGGAGAAACTAGACTGCTTCAAAATGCTGCCTAAAGGCAGGTGGGCATTGCTGTCTAAAAAGAAATTCAAGTCTGTCTGGGTCTGCGTATCAAACATTTCCAAACCTAAGAAGTTAGAATTCCCCCTGCAGCTATACGATTGCGTGGCACTGTCTGAAAATAAGAAGTCAGTCTGGGTTTCGATGTCCAGAGACTCCAAAACAGGCTCGGAGTTCAGGGTACCAAGCTCGCTCTCTTCAGTTTGAGTTTGAATATTAGATGCTGAAAAGAACTCTTCAATATCAAAATCTATTCCCGTGCTCTGCGACGGGCCAGATGGCAGATGTGAGTCAGCATTAGAACCAGCATCAGACAAAAGGCCACGATTATCCAGTGTCTGGCCAGGCATGTTTCCTGAAAAGATGTTTTCCAGATCACTTAGTAAGTCCATTGTCTGTGTTTGATTATCTGTTGTATTTTGAGGCGGCAGTATATTCGTCTGCGCATTGAAGCTGATAAGGGCTTCTGACTTTACTGTATCTTGATTTAGGCTCTTGCAATTACTCCTTTGCAGCAGGGTTTCCTCTATATTTGCAGCCATTAAGTTATTCTCTGGAAGGCCAATCTGAGTGGAAACCCTGTATGAGGAATGGACGTTGTCAAAGATGTCACTGCTCATCACAGCCTGGTCCATCTGCACTCTTCCATCCAGAGAGGGCTGCGTCCGGTGGGTCTGAGTCTCCCTCGAAATGCCACCCGTTGGAAAACAAGCCTGACCGAAAGCCTCGGTCTGAGCAGCGATGGATGAAGTCAGCTTAGAAGCAGGCAGCAGGGTCTGTGTTTGCACACTGATGGGTAGCGACACCTGCGAACCGAACGACAGGTCGGTCTGAGAGCAAGAGGACACAGAGGAATCGGCAGCCCAGGCTGCAGCTGGTACCAGGTTCTGAGAAATATAAGATAAGTCAGTCTGGACATTTATGGAAGAAATGTTATTCTTGTGGCAAACATTCCCCAGCTCTTGTCCTGCGCTAGCAGATGTAACCTTATCCAAGTCAACTTGTACACCAGTACTTACTGGCTTGTTGTCACCAGAATTAGTCACTTTTGAAACAGGCATAGAGTCTTTAAACACAAGTGTTTCTGCTTCCAGTGCTGGAATCAGAATTCCTACAGATTGAGGCAATAACTGAACAGTACTCATAACCGACCCCTGGTTATCAACAGCCACCACCACAGGTTTCACAGCAGGGTCTGTCGCAGACACAAACACGGGCAAGTGAGCAAGCTGCATCACAGGCAGCTTCACCAGAGCCACTTTGGGCTTGGGCAAAAGCATCTTCGGGGCACATTTTGGCTGCATCTGCTTAGCAAAGTTAGAACTGTGGGAGCTTTCGAAAGGGGTTACTAATTTCACTTCAGATGAGTCCAGTTCCTGAGTGCCAGGGCTATCATTGCGGGTACTGATGAATCCTTCATTTGCTTTCTCTGCCAACTGCTGATTGTGTATGGAGGTTTCCATTTTCCTTTTCTTGACAGGAGGATCCCTGTGAACATCAGATCAATAATTTACACTTCTCTTCAAGCACAAAACATCTGCCTTCCATTCTTTCAAGTCACTGCACCAGAAATATAAACCCAAGCCACAAAGGAGGTTGAAAACAAGATGACTGCTAATTTGGAATAAAAAACAGAATTTGTCCATCACTTTCTTTTTTTTTTCAAAGTAAGAATAAAATGGATCTATTCCACAGAGACCTGTGTTCTAAAAAGAGGTTAATGTTTAGACTGTTTGTTTCCCTTTATACATTAGATGTCTTAAAATCAGACCTTAATTCATTTTGATGCTAACTGGGCTATAAAAGAAAATAAAACGAACTGTATTTCACACCACAGTTACCAGCTACATACATTCCCAAATCATCTCTGAAGAAACTAAAAGCATTCCAATGAGAATCCCTAGTACTGACACATCTAGTGCAGCAGCAGCAGGAACTATCTTGCTGGCAGCAGCGCTTCCTATTTTATAGGTGGAAACCTGATCTTACTGATTAGGCAATTAATCAGCACTGCCTTTAACGAAATAGAAACTGCTGAAAGCAATGGAACGAAGAAAGAGCTGAAAACAGTTCTACAGCTAAAACAGCGCGAGCCAGGCTCCAACTTAACGAAGAGCAAGGGGACAAACAGACAGCACAGAGGAGGCTGAGGGCTCTGGGATGAACACAAGGAATGTTACACTTTGCTGCTTCACTTTTACCTGTGTTCTGCAGGAATTTCATGGCCAGTCCTGTAAATATGAGACAGTAAAGCTGTTCTGCTGGCATAAGGGCACCCACAAGTACACTGGAAAGTCTTGCCACAATCCTCTATATGCCGCTTCAAGTACCATTCAGTACCATAGGAGTTACTACATTTATCACATTTGTGCTTCTTTTCAGCATGCATCTTCATAAAGTGCTAGAACAAACGAGAAGTCAGCGTCAATCTGCAGCTGAGAAACCTTTAGGGGAGTCATTGACATTTGCAATACTTTACATGTTAAATACCACTGGAGAACAGAATTAGAAATCACAATCTTTTGAAAAATCTCACAAGAAATCAGTTGAGTTTAAAGAGTTCCAAATTTGACAATCTTCTTGTGCTAGGTGCATCTCAAAATACATACCTTCACATTAAGAAAACGTAAGATTGAAAAGTTTCATTGTATGAGTTGGAGTATAGGAGAAAAAGCTGGAGTATAAGTTTTTATTTGCACAAATATTGGTGCATACACAAAATTCCTACCGCATGCAGCTCTCCAAGCTGGGAGAATGGATCTCCTGATCATATTAGCTCCTTATCAGCAGCAGGGCCACCACTTTAAAATGCAGGTAAGTGTTTATACGTGCAACATTTCTCGCACAAGGGCTGGTCACCCACAGTCTCCATGGGTAATCACAGATGACTAAAAGCAGAAGGTTTTTACTCACACAGAGAAACAAGTTTTACATCCCCGCTTCAACAGGTAACTTGTAAACAAGTGAATTTTGAGTGAGAAGCAGAGAAAAACCCTTCTTCCCCACTTAAAAAGCTGTTTAAAAATATCAGCTACATAACAAACTCCTATTGGTTCCTACGGTGATTTTTGGCCCCCTTTGCTCTTTTCCAAGGAGGGCCTTCTTCCCTCTTAGCAGAACATACCAGTGTCTGCTTGATCAAAAGCTTCAGGTCCTCCAATGTCAACATGGAAATGTGCACATTCACCCACCACAGGCCCACATGGACTTTCTGCACAAACTTCTCCACTTTTGCATAGACACCGAGACGCTTTTCTCCTATCTGAATGCAAAAGCGGAGGCTCTCTGGGGTACAGAATGTCAGTGCCAAATGAGGAAAAAAGGAATACCTGTTTTACAAGAGAATATTGGGAAAATGGTCTGTTTGGTCCTCTAGGGCAGCCTTCAATAGGACAGCAGTAGAATTTCTGTGAAGTTTTCAAACCCTTCCTCATTGGTGCATTAAGTTTTCCATCCTGAAAAAGTACAATTTGACAAAAAACTCCAGGTTTGTGTATTAAAGACAACATTCAGAACACACAGCATCTTAGGGTCAATGGGTTACATGCCTCAAGGTAAAAGCACTTTCCTAACAGATGCAACGTTCTGCTCTCTGGCTCGGTCAGGGCTACAACCTGAATCCCAGTGAGCTCCATATGAGCACTGCCATCGTACCAGTCACTTCTGGTCAAGAGACTCTTGGCCTGCAGCAAATGACACGTGCCCTTTGTGTTGTTTGAGCCAACAAGCTTCTCCAGCAGATATTAAGGAGCAATTTCTACTGACACAACCAAGGAAACCAGGCACAACAGAGCCTTCTAGATATATCCTATCTGAAATCTTTTGCTCGCAGTCAAAACATCAGACATATGCTCTAAACAAAAAAAATAAAAAGCAAAAGGAACATCCGATGCTCAGAGTAGCTATAAGCTTCTTCCTGCTTTCCTAAGATTAAGCAGGAGGGCAACCAAGTCCTCAGTGCCAGGCACAGTCTCCGATGTCCTCCCCAAGGTCATTACTCAGGTGAAAGCTCCTGGCGAATGTCCTGGTTGGCTCCACTTTGGATTTCCTTAGCAAGGGGACAGTGAGAGTAAGCAGAATAAGTGGTGGGATGTGAATATTATACCAGTAACGTCCTAGCAGGCAGATCTCCTCCAGCCACTTCATGCTTACATGGGCTAGATCATACATAAAGAATTCACCAGATGCAATAATCATCCTATGAGAAACAAAAATAAAAGCACACACCACAGCTGCATGACATTACTAGGCGAGATGAACAGATCTTCTCACCTAGCTACAGCTGGCTAGAACCCAAAACACTTTGTTCAGACTTACTTTGTTTTCAGAGTATTAATTTCTTTTTACCTTTCAGGAATATCACAAACTTAATTAGTGAGACACTTCAAACCTTTTGTTTTCCCTCAAACCACCTCTCAATTTAACATGTTCTGTGAAAAATATTACATTTTTTCAAATCATGTTTCCCTTCTATTTGCAGTCACACAGCTCTGCTGTGTTGCACCAGACTCAAAAAGGTCAGTCTCAAAGTCAATGAGCGTCCATTACAAAAAACAAAACAGAACAAAAACAGCAAAACAAAAACCACTCTTGAATAGTTCCCCAGATAGGGAGTTTTCATATAGGCTTTTGCCTTTCCTCTGCCCTTCTCAGCGTCCTTCTGCATAGGCAGCAGCTTTTCCCATAGACGAGCCATTCACAAACGGGTCTGTTTAATCTCCCTTGTGACTGAGGATTGATTGAGTGCCTCTCCCTAGATCGCATTAACCTAACAGTCTCAAATTAAGGTTAAAACAGCGTGGCATTGTTGCTCAATCTTGACTAGTTAGCGTGATCACTTTGGGACCTTAGATGCAGCCCAGAAGAGAGAAGATAGCAAACTTCTTTCTTCAGAAAGGAAGATTTGCCTTTAATTAATAACTAGGTTTGGCATCCTTCAGCGCAAGGAAATCAATAAACTTAATAAACAGCAATTAGCCTCACTTAGGAATAAATAAGAGTCTAAGTGTATAAAATTTAACAGTGTAACCAATCAGATGACAGTGCAGTCAGAAATATATTCAGGCACTTAACAGGCAAACCACAATCATAATATTCCAAGTTACCTGCATGCTAAATTTCTGCCAATTGTCTAGATGCCTACACGATCTAGATGGCAACATACTCCAATATGAGCAGTCCAAGACCTTAAAAACCCTTCATTTTCTGTAATACTTCAGAGGAACAAAAAGAAGAAAAAGTAAAATATCAAGTTTTCAAAAGCTTTATAAATATGAGCAAGAAGCTTTTATAACAGATGGTACACAGATTTCGAGCCACAGATCACAGCAGATTTGTTGTGACAAGTTGAAAGATACTCTACATATCCAAGTAACCCTCAGCAGGCACTGATCTTACTTTGACTAACTTCACGGTCCTCCTAGCATTAAATGGTTAACCTTAGGTCCACACAGAAACTGGGCTGGCCTGTCACGTTTCAGACACTTTTCACACGTCCGCTCCTTCTGATTTTACTTCTCATGGTTACACATTCCCATCTCCACCATCCCTGGTAGATACCCCTTCAATTACCTTATAACAACACAGACTTTTGCATTACACGGGCTAGTGACATACAGACAGGGCTGCATCATCAATGAAGAAAACAGAAAGCAATAATCCTTGCTCCTGATTCAGCCCAGATGAACTGCGCCAGGATGTGCCTCCCTGCAACAGAGAGACCTACTCCAAAGGATTAATTTAAAACATGGCTACAGGATACTGTAACCAACTATTTAACGTATTTTCTGTAAGCAGATTACCTGTTTCTTGAGTAACAGGGCCAGAAGTGCAGCTATTCTTACTGCCGAAAACACTGAGCCTGTGTAAGGCCCTTTTTGGGGAACAGGCTCCTGGGAAGAACCTTCCCCTCCAGGTCCCACCGAGCGCAGCCTCCCTGGCCCCACAGGAGCCTCTCCTCACAAATTCATCTGGCTTCCCTTTTCATATGAAAAATACCCCTCTGCCTCACAAAATATTATAAACAGAAGGGTTAAGTCTTCAAGGTTTCCACCCCTGATATTCTCACTGCCAGCTTACATCCACTGCTCCTGTTCTGCAGTAACTTAATTGAGCTACGGAGCCAGAACTCCTCAGTCAACACTTGATCCTATCAGCCCTGCTAGGCCAAACAAGCCTCCCCTGGCAGCCAGGTGCCATTCCCACGATCCTGGGCACTCCGTTCTGCCCCTCCTCCAGGCTAATTCGGGCTTCCTTGGGCACTTTCCTACCTCACCCCTGGGTATTTTGCCACACACTTTTGGTGTATTTTAGGACTGCCCTTCTCACAGCAGCACAACCCTAAAGGCTCCCATGCCGATGACCACATAGCACTGGCATCTGTTTCCCATTTCAGATTCACTTTTTAAAGAACAGGACTGATCAATTTGAGTTTCTGTTATCAGTACAACCTCGTGTTTGAGCTCCCGCCCTTGACCCTATTTTCTCCCGGTTCATCCTACTTCCCTGTGCCAGCATCCCCATGTCCTCCGGCCCTGACGAGGCCTGGTTTGGGTACCAAAACCTCCTGCTGGCCCCGTGCTCGCGAGCTGCGGGAATAAGACCCGGCTCCTACACCCGGCCCTGCCTCTTGAGGAAACTGTTGCGTTTACGGCAAGTCCGCGCTCGGAAGCCCTGGTCGCGGTTCTCGCCGGTAACCTCCCCAGGACGGCAGCGCGCCCGGCGCTCTGCGGCGCTTCCACAGCGGACAAGAAAGACCCAGAGCCCCTGGTAACAAACGAGGAACGCGCGGAGCCCGCGACAATCAACAAGAAACAAGCAGAGGCCTCCGCCCGTCCACTACGAGGGCCGAGCAGGCGCTGAGGAGGGAAGCTGGGGCGCTCGGAGCAGGGCCGGGGCTGCGCGGGGCAGCAGCGCCACGAGCAACGCAGGAAACGCGGCCCGCGCAGCCCGGGCGGGGGGCCGGCCCGGCGCCGGGGCCCGCGCGGCACGGACGGGGTGGCGGCCGGCGCGGCCCGGGCGGTACCTGGAGGCGGTGCGCCTTGCTGAGGTGCATGTTGAGGGCCGGGCTGTTGGGCAGCACCTTGCCGCAGCCCGGCACGGTGCACAGGATGTTGGTGCGCACTTGCGACAGCTCCGTCACCGAGGGCCGCACGAGCTCGCGGGCCGGCGGCGCCGGGGCCGCCGCCGGGGGCCGCCCGGGCCCCCCGCCACGCCGCGCCGCCGCCGCCATGTTGCTGTCAGCTGCTCCGCGCCCACTTCCGGGGGGCGGTGCGGAGCTCATGAATATGCACAAACTCATCGAATAGTCATGAAGCTGTTGAATATTCATAAAAGGCGGGGCGGCCACGCCCCCGCGCCGGGATCAGCTGCGCCCTCCGCGCGCCGAGGGGGCGAAAGGCGGGAGAGGCTCTGGAACTGGAGCATCCCAGTTACGTTACCCGCGACACCCTGGAAACCAAGGAAGGGAGACACTTCCAGCTCGGAAAAAGAGAATCCCTTATAAAAGATTAGTATTAGATCCCTTATAAATCAACTTATAAAAAAATCTATCAAATTACAGAATTAAGGGAACTCTTGCACCCCTTTAATTTTTTTTTTTCTTGATTTCACCCAGCTTTTTTATTATTATTTAGTTGAATAAAGTAAAGCAGAGTAGAATAAAGTATAGCTGTACTAAGTTTCTAGATAAAAGAATAATTGAACCTTCAAACCAAATCAAGCTCTTTAATGAAAAATGTAGAAAGTGACATAAAATGTCTGATAATTATTATTACCACTAAAAAAGTCCACTGCAGGGCTATTAGTTGTGTTAGTGAACATTACTCTTTCGATTCCACCCTCTTTATGTCCACCTGTTAAATGAAATAACAATGTGCAGGAGTTGCAGAAGGAGGAAGTCTTTAATGAAGCACACATTCTGAAGCACAACTTCCTCAAAACAAAGTTATTGCCTATTTCATTACTCTAAAGGTAAAATTTCATAAGATACTAATGCAAACATTAAAAAATAGCTTTTTATATAGATATTTGTTCTTGAATATTGCACTTGGCCAGTAAAGATACTGGATCTAAATCAATGACCAGTGGAGCTGGATGGAAACTTCTCCCTGACATCTGCTTTTCAAGAGTCCTGTCTCCTTTCCCCGCTCGTCTGCAACCATCTCACTGTGGAATCCTCTTCTGCCAAGCTCGCAAGGCGCCTGACCTGAGCAGGCAGGTCACTCCCCGTCGTTAAATGGGGCTATTCACAGGGTTGAAGACTTTAATTGGAAGGAATTTAAGGGAAATTGAAGGAATAAGTTAATTTAAAAAATGTTTTAACCTTTATTATGATTTGGATAATGCTAGTAATAAATGAGTTCTATATTTTTCTATAAAATCACTCTTAAATTAAGGGCTTACAAAGCTTCCTGGAAAGATACCTTTCCTCTCTCTAATTTTAAAATAATTCCTCGCTTTTTGCGGTATACAAGTAAGTAATGGTGAAAGTGGCGCATCAGCTAGACCTGGAGAGAAGAAGAGAAACAGATCATTATAGCTTAACTCGGCCAATTATTATGCTCATCAATAGTTTAGAATTAAAAATACAGCATTAGTATCTATGTACAAATTAAGAATTCTAAGAACAAGTTGGTGTATATTTAAACAACAGTTTTCATAGTGGTGACATTTTTATTCTACTAAATTTCTTTATATTTCTAAATAAATTATGCAGGCTCTCTCTTACGCCAGATACAATCTGAATATAACATGATAAAAATATTCAACTATGATATTTTGCTACATTTTGCAGAGCTGAAAGACTGACCTGCTGGTGCCAAGGATTTCAGTGATTCTAAGAGATGTGGACTAGAAAACTTGACAAGACATCTGAATGGCTCTTTTATGTCCGACACATCCAGTGAAGGGTTACTCTTAAATGTTGTCTCCAGCTGTTAACACAAAATGTACAGGGAGTATGACCAAGGAATACATTTTACATATATGTTATTATGAAAATAATAGATCAGTCAGACTGTGGCCCATTTCTCTTTGAATACTGTTTACAAACTACATGTGATATTGAACAGAATGCCTTATATTTGTATCAAAAAATGTTTATTTTGTGTTATTGTCATTCTCTAACTTTTTGAGTAACCAGATCACTGTCAACTCTCAGCATTTTTGTAGGGCACGATACACCCAACAGAGCCAAATACTGTGGAGTTACATGCCTGGTAGTTTGTAGGGTGGTGTGGGAAGTTTAAGTCAATTTTAACCCAGTTATGACAGATGACTTGTTTTCTCAATGAGTCGCTGCCCTCAATTTCATTTTCTCTTTGTTTAAACAGACATCCAGTTGAAACAAACATGATTTAATTTGGATTGTGTCTTCAAACTGCTTTGTGAGCTAAATAAAAAGTGCTTAGCAACTAAGTAGGTGATGAAAATACATTCTTCAAGTACCAGCATTAAAAAGAAGTTTATGAATCTCCTGTTATCTCTGAAATTATGAGGCAACTCTGATTAGGTTAGCCATGAACTAGAAAAAGAATCAATTTGCTATTGTCTCTTGGTGTTAAATTATTTTGAAGATTTTTTTTTTTTTATTAATAAAACCAGAGGGTGCCACCATGTGGCAAACAATTCTTTGCCAAAAGACACAGTCTCCACAATGATGTTGTAAAACATTAAGAAAAATCTCCTGGAATTTCCAATATATCTATTTGTCAAAATACCCAAACAAAAAAAAAGGAAAAAAAAAACCCGCATCGCCTAGGAAGTTACGGCTGATTAATGTGTTACTAGATTGTATGTACCTTAAATAGCCCTAACTTCTCATGCCTGAAAACACTGCTGTTTTTCAAAGTTGTATTACAAAAGTAAGGTAAAATACTTGGTTTATAAGGATGAAAAATTTGGAAAAAATACCATTCAGTGGTCTGACCAAATCTGAGTGCAAATCTGTTTACAAAGAGGAGTTTCAACTAGCATATTTTAAATTGTCCCCCTTAAGCTTGCAGCAGCACTAGACAGTTCTTTATTTGCAATTTAATGCAGCTAATTCTGCTGAAATTACAAAAAAAAAAATTGTTTACTTTTCCTACCTTATATTGTGCAAATTCAAGTTTTGGTTGGGGACCATCACCAAAAACTTCACGATTCACTCTCAGTATTCTTTCTTTCTCATTTTTGTTTTCTTGAATTATCCTTAAATCCACTGCAAGTGAAAGAATAGGAAGGAGAAGAGGAAAAACAGAAAAAGAACTGCATCAGCAGAAAGAATACTGCTTCTCTGATCAGGAAATGTCTGATGGAATGCAGGAGAAAAACAGAAATTGATTTAAAATCACCACAATCTTTTTTTTCCATAAACCAATTGTTTGCTTCATATTTGCAGTTATTATTCCTTAAGAACCACAAAATAAGTCAATATGAAAGGCAATACTGGGCACTGTGTATTCCTGGTTTCATAAATGCTGGTATGTCCAATGACTGCCACTGGGAAATACCTCTCCTAAAGGTAAACAATATTGTGGCATCTTACCATCATTGGCAATATATGTACTTTTCCTATTGAATTGCATTCCATAAGCAAGGGATATTTTTAAGTACAAATCTAACATATCATGACATTGAAAGTGCAGTTTAATTTCAAACGTACATACCATTCTCTGAGGTTACGTTCCTTTCTTGTAAGGGTCTTGGATAATATGTCTGGAAGGTCTAAATAAGAGAAGAAAAAAAATAACCCTTTACTCCACTTCCACTTTTAGAGGCTATAGCAGAAAAGAACTTTTTGGGTTTCTATCTATTTCTCAAGTAAAATAAGCATTCTCTCTACTTTTTGGCAATTACTCTAGGCCAGGAAGTCTAACTTTGAGATAACTATTCCCAGCCTTCTATGGTATTTCTGAACATTACCCTTTTATAAGTGCTACTTGAATGAGAATAAATGCTCATTCCATTAGTTTCCAAAACATTGTCTAGGAAGTCCGATGAAACTGTACTAAAAAATCCTAAGATTAATTCAGTCATAGAATTTTGGACCAAGTTTAACCTTCAGAATACTAAGGTGTTAAGTCACCATTTTAATGTTACCTTCATGAAAAGCTGTCCACCTCAGTAGTTCATTATTACTGTAACATGATGATGTCTTGGAAGTGGTGAATTTTCCCCCCTGCTAGGGAGTAAGAACTAGGCCTGAAACAAGAAGCAAGACTCATTTTAGGATGAACTTACAGAGTGGCTCACCTGGCTATATCTCTTAAACACAATATCTTTAAGGGAGTTTAAGCAATGACTTCGAAGCTCCATTTCACGGATGTCATGGTAATTGGAAGCCACAACCAGTGCCTTTAAATGAAAATTGAAATTATTTTAACATCAATATTAATCATCATTGTACTTATAGTATGGAAAACATTGTATTTCTAGATAACCCAATGTTTTTACTTTAGGGTAAGCAACTGCCCTTTAATGAGCAGGATTCTTATGTCTGAAGAATTTGCAATAGATTAAGCTTATTAAGGTTAGATCAAAGGCATGCATGAGATAAAGATGTATAGTTATCTAGTTAATCAGGCTGATAATGCTAATGAAATAACCAAAATGAAAGTCTGCTAAATAGATCAAAAATAAGAAAATTACCAACAATGATCACCAAGAGTTTACTAAAAACATGTTTTTTTAAAAACCTAATTAACCTCTTTAACATCTTAAAAGCTAATAAGGAGAATTATTGAACTATGAGACTGGTAGTGTCAGGGACTACAGTTTTATTTTCTACCTGACATAGCAGAGGTAAGGTGCTCCTAATCACTGAGGCAGAAATGAAGACATAGGGTGTCTGTGAATGGTATACAACATAGCTGGTTTTGTACTGGTTTGGATTTTTATATGGTGTTCCCCAAGCAATTCTAATCCAGATGGCATTATCCTCATATTCTTTAAAGTTGATGGTAACCTAAATAGAAGAAAGTAAAGTTTCAATTTATTTGCACATTCAGACTAGAAATATTTCCTAGACTCTACTTTCACGTGACCTAAACAAAACAATATAACACAGATTCTATTTAAAACAAATTTCAGTGGAAAAATATCATCTTGTGTTTAAAAAATAAGCAATATGTATATTTCTTTTGAAAGAGTTCATATATACATATATATGCATATGTACGTATATATGAATTTATTAAAAAATAATCTTTCAAACTCCCATAAGGCTTTATTTTGACCCTTCTGAAGACGCATATCATCAAGAATAGAAATGGCTTGCTACAAACTCTCAATTTTCTCTTTTGGGAGATCGCAACCCAACAAAAAAAGTCCTGTATTTAGAAGGAAGACTAGTAACAGTATTTCAAATGTCTTACTTCTGATACATTTGCCAATTTCAGAAATATTTTAGAATATTTATCACAGGCTATTTTGAAGATTTCCTTCTCAGATTCTGTGGTTTTGCTACTCAGTTGCTGATGACTTTCAGCTCAACTTTCCTAACTCGACAAAAATTCCCTTTGATTTAGGCACCCCAATCAAGCTCTCACTTAGCTAGGTCCCAAACTGTTTGTGGATCAATGTCACCTCTCAAAGTTTTTGTGGACTGTCATAATTAAAAGAGATTAAAAAAAAGAAAAGAGAAAAGAAAAAATGCACTTAGAATGGATTTAGTCTTACATTTTTCAGAGCTGTCTGTAGTCGTCTTTTAAATTTTTTTTTGAAATCTCTTAAGTCAAAAAAATCTGTTTCTTCCCCTGTTAAACAAGAAAGGACAGTTTGGAATTCTGCTTACAAAAAATAGTTCAGACTGTTTTGTTTCAGACAACACTGTAAAAACATGTAGAAAAAGCTAAAGTTGCCTAACGGTATAAGACAGGCCCTATACTAAATTTGAGCCTCATTATTGATACATAAAGAAAAAAAAAACCAGTAGCTATTAATTTATAATAATTCCTTAAAAGTTGAGCAAAAGTATTCTGAAAATATTAAATATATGTCTAATGAAAATTCCATTCTAGACTTTGTTTATATTCAAAGCATATTGTATGAGGCAATACTATTGTACATTTGTAAGAACTATCATAGTGAGATTACAGCAAGGAAAGATATTTATCTACCTGATTTGTTCATCTGATAAACACTCCAGATTCTTTTGTTTGGATAGATGTGGTTGTCTAGGGAAAATAAGAATTGCCCAGTAACACAAAATATACATTAACAGGTAGTTAAACAAAATATTTTAAAATAGTCTTACGACCAATTCATTTCATTAATTCTAACAATAGAATTCTTTCAGCAGTCTTAAGCTACCATTAATGGTAAGTCTGAAAGCAAAAGAAATGTAGATTGTTGAAACTGAAATTAAAATATTAAATAATAAAATTACAAATCACTATGGAAGTTAGAATTCCATCTGGTGTATCTGCTGTCACTCCTTATATGGAGTAAAATAGCATTGATTTTAGGGTTTTGTGCATACTGGAGACAAACTTTTCTCTCCAAGCTTGTAAATTGTATTCATCAGTTAATTACCACAGTTGACATCTATTTAGAAGTCAGAAGAACCAAACAGATGCTTCATTTGATTTTGCAGCTTAATATTATGTTATTATGTTAATCTGGCCCAAAAAATTACCAGGCAGATCCAATCACATTCAGCATCTCAAACATAATCTGTTGACAGCAAATGCATCTGTAGATTCACCAAGGCAATACTATGTAATTACAGGAGTTACCAAGTTACTCATAGCAAATATAAAAGTCATTTTTACTTACAAATAATGTCCAGGAGGGCTGCTTGCTTTATGTCTGCTGAATTATCCTTAAAGGGAAAATGACAACAGATGGTGAACTGCAGAGCCAGAACACTGCATCACAGTGAAGTGAAATATCTCAGTCCAGGTAGTTTAAATTATTTGGATGGCACTGAAATCCAAAAAAAACCAAACTAACTGCACTTCACATGGGGCAGCACTATCAAATTCAGATGTCCATTAGCACATATATATATAATATAGTTCCCGGGATACATAGACAGCATCACTCACTACATAAAACTGCAGAAAATCTCAGCATGTTTTGTGGGAGCTGACCACGAGAGTATGTTTGCACAGGAACACAAGGAGGTGCTTGCAGCACGTGTGATCATTCTTACACTATCAAAAAAAAAAAAAAACCTACCCAGACCAATCAGATTTAAATTATCACCAGAAAATGAACAGTTGTCTTAATCAGGGCCTTCCTTTTACAGTTCAGAATTATCCTTATTTGTTAAGGGCTCAAGACACCGAGCTTTAATCAATCTTAGAGCTCAGAACATGCACTTCTATACTCCACATGGGCCAATGCTGCGTTCATAGCAGCCTGGCAAAGTCACTATTATCGCTAGCCTTGCTTTAGGTGGGCCAGAACTGCCACTGGATGCTGGGTTTTGTCCACGCTCTCCCGTGTCACCAACGGGCAGTTCCCAGGGGGCAGGATTACCTCGCAGAGCTGAACAACCTGTTGGGAAACGCTGTCCTTGGTCTGATGGAAATTCACGGTTTGCAGCTGGGCCTCGGAGAGGAAGCCCCACGTCTGCAGCATCGCCTTGATCTCATGGCGGGGGATTTTGAGCACGGTTCTCCTGATGTATTCAGCAACAGTCTCATCCATTGCGAAGCCACCTGAGAAACAGAGGCGTTAATGCAGCTCTCTACATAGGGAGGCTTTGTACGGCAGGCAAATCAGCACCCAGGTGCGGCTGGCAAAGCATCAGCATCGTCCTGAGCACGGAGGCCACTAACCCGCGTTCCCCTGAGGGCTCAGGGGCTCAGGGGCTGGTTCCAGCGAGACCCAGGGCCCTTCCACCCTTCCCCGGGCCACGAGCCCCGACCGGATCCGCTGAGGGGCCTCAGGTCGCCGTCCCCTACAACAGCCCAGCTGGGGGAGAGGAATGGGCCGCGGGAGAGGGGGAAGGGCCGCGCTCTCACCCACCTGCCGCCTCAGGCGCCGGGCGCGGAGCCCTGAGGGGAGCTACGCGCGCCGGCCGCGCGCGCCGCCAACCGCCACCCGCCCTTCGAAGCGACCAATCCAACGCCGCACTGGGCTCGAGCCGCCCAATCGGGGCAGGCCCCGCCTCCCGCCGGGCGGCGCAGGCGCCGTGCGCAGGCTCCTCCGGCAGGGCTGAGGCGGCTGCCAGCGCAGCTCCATGCTCCCCTTTCATAACGGCTATAAGGAATACTTAAACTTTTAACGAAGCTGGGTCAAGCTTGGAGTTAAATCTTAGCCACAGGGAGTGGCCTATGGGTTTTAGAGCAAGTGTCGGCTCTGTTCCCTTTTCCCCTGCCCCGCGTCCTCTCAGGGCTGCTCTGCCTCCTGCGGGCAGTATTTGAGTGCTGCAGTTCTGCAATGTAAAAAGCCCTGAGCTTGGGAGCTTAATGCCTTTCTGCTCTGTTAGTGCTCATTGTAAGGTTTTCGTTCTCAGTGGTGGTAAATAAAGCCTTGCATTTTAAATAGCTACTTTCTTGAGTCGCGTGTGAATTCTGCTTCTCGCCCCCCCCCCCCTTTTTACTTAACAAATATAAATGACCTTTAGGTATCCAACTTCTAAAATGGAGAAATTGGCAAAATTTTGGTGAAGAGGTGGTCTTCTAAACCATTTTCATCAAATGTGGGAAAAAGTGTGTTTGGAAAGCAATTATTTATATTTAAGCACTTCTCTTTCATTGCCTTCCACCAAACATGGTGCTTTTTGGGGACAATCTTTTGATTTCTCTTTACTCATTAGTTTTCAGCAATTTTATTGCCAACACCTTTAGTACCTGTCAGGTTCTTTGTGCACATCAGTGCACAATGTAGGACTCGCTGAATGTATGTATGGACAGGCTTTAGATTAGGGTTGCGAATCTGTTCTTGATAACTTTTATGTTGATTTCTGTTGGAAAATATTCTGAAGTTCAATATACTTAATATTCAGAAATACTTAGAGAAGCCTAGAGATGTACTTCTAAGTAATTATTTTTCTAACCCAAAATCTCGCCTCCGCCCCGGGGCTTGCGCTGCTCCTGCGTGTGAAGGGCTGGGGAGGCTTTGCCGTGTTTTCCCACCAAACTGGGGGGGTTTGGATTAGAGGAGGGTGCTGTTGGGGACCCGTGCAGCCCTTGGGGTTTGCGTCCCAAGTCTTCCTGTGGTCACCGAAGAGCTGAGCCGTGGGCACCACACAGCCGTGACGCATCCCCGGGAGAACCGGAGCGGCTGCTTTTCCCCTGGGCCCCACGCTCGCCCCGGGAAGCCGCCTGCCCAGCCCTGCTGGAGCGGCGCCTCTCCCGGCCGCTCCTGCTGCCCTGCCGGCGTCTCCGCCAACGCGGCTCCCGCCTCCGCCCCGATGCCGGCGGCTCTATGACACTTAGACAACTTTCCCTGCTCTTACTGCACGCTTTTTAACTTGATTTCTGATCTTGTTCTTCGTGAAGGCAGCCTCAGCTCCCAGCTGCCGTGCGAGGACAGGACTTCAATGATGCCCTTACTCCTCTGTCCCACAGCCAAGAGCCGGGATGGGCCGAGCACCCAGCTGTGGGGCTGGTTCCATGTCTCATGTGCAGGAGCTTGTGGGGTGGAAGGAGACTCTTCTGGCAGGGAAGTCAATGCAGCGGGTGCCGGGGCAGCCACACGGCCCTGCGGAGCCCCTCTCCAAGCCCTGTGCGTGCTCCCTTGCAGGACACGCTGCACTCGCTCTCCCTCCTCTGTGGAAGGAAGGAAACCCAATCCCCTGCCCTAGATACTCTGCCTGGGTTTCTCGAGGCTATTCCTGGCACAGAGCTCTGTTGCCTTCAGCATTTCCACTGCTCTCTCCATCTCTCTCATCCCCCCTTCCTCTCTCCTTCCTTCCTCTCATCCCTGCGCCCTTGGCGGCCGCGGTGCTGCCGCCGGGCGCTGAGGATGGAGGCCACTCTGGGACAGGGCTGCGTTAGTGCAATCGCTCATCTGCATTCACTGCCCTCCCAGTCCTGCGCTGCTCCTCCCTTCCCCAAACTGCTCCCGGCCGGGCCGCACTGCGGGGAGCCCGGCCGCCTGCCCGGGCACGGCTAGCACCGCGTCAGGGTGAGTACCGGCACGGCGGGGTCCTGGAGCCAGGCTCTCCTGCCCGACGCTGCTCCCGCATCCCAAGGCTTCCCAGCAGCGCTGCTCATCGGGCGTTCGTTTCTGCAGCGTCGCTGCCCTTGCCGTGTCCTTCGGCAGCAGCACGGGCAGCCCAGGGGGCGGCGGGGACGAGGCGGGAGGTGCCAGGGCAAACGTGTCAGAGCCCGGCGGTGCCGGCGGCTCCGCTCGGTGCCCGCTGCACCGGTGGGTGACTCGCCGTGCCCGTGCTCCACAGCACCATGACGGCGGAGCAGCCCCATGTCCCCAGCAGGGTGTCACAGAGCACGGCGCAGAGCGGGTCCCCCCCGGCCCCGGGGCAGCCCCCGTGCGGTGGCGGCAGGACGGAGGTGACGCCGCCGGGGGCCGCAGCGCGCGGAGAGGGGGCCCTCATGGGCGAGCTCTCGCAGCTGGTGCAGGCGGCCGTGAGGAGCAGCAGCTGGTGGGAGCGGCACGGTGTGGACATCTGCATCCTCGGCCTCAGCTTCCTCCTGCTGCCCGCCGGTGAGTGCGCCCACACGCTGGCCGCACCGCGGCACCACCGGCCACGGCGTGAGCTGCGACGGCTGCTGCCTCGGCCGGGCTGCATCCAGCGCCCGGGCACCTTCATGGGGCAGGGCGCGATGGTCGAGCCTGTGTCCTCCTGGCCAGCGCCAGGTTTTTCCCAGTTTTCACCCCAACTTGAGCTTTTAGCCCCATGCCGTTGCTGGCATCGTGGGAGGACAGCGCTTGTCCCCAGAAATAGCCTGTCCTTCCTCTCCTGGCCAAGCCTGGCACTCCATCCTGGGGTGAAACTGCCCCAGGCTACATGCAGGAAAGGCCAAGCTCTCGCACAAGCCCCACGGCTCGTGCCCGGCGCTGCATCCTCCCCTCGTGCCTGTCTCAGTGTGTCTCCTGCTCCCCCCATACGGAGCCAGGCACATTCCCGTGGAGAAGCGGCCAAGCCCTCGCACACCCGCCAGGGTTGCCCAAGCGGCGTCGGGCTGTTTTCCCGGCCGCGCCTGGGCCTGTGCTGGGCGGGAAGGCGGCAGTGCCGGCACAGCCGGCTGCGCCGCGGCGACGTGCGGCGGCTGCGGGTGCCTCTGCCCCGGGCACGCGCGGTGGCTGCGGGGAAGGGCCCGGGCCGGCGGTGCCGGCCGCTCAGGCCGTCGCTCCACAGGGTTCCTGTGCCTGCGGTCAGCCCACGCCACCCCCTTCCTGGCCGGCATCGTCATCCTCGGCGTCGTGCACCACACACTGACCGTGAAGGGCAGCCACCTGGCCAGCCACAACGCCCTCACCGAGTCCAAGGCCTGGGGCAAGGTGTGGGCCGTCTTCTTCATCGAGGTGAGCGGGCGCACGATGCGGGTGCACAGGCTGCGCCTGCGGCCCCGGCCCCGGCCACCCCTCTCCTCCCTTCCCTCCCAGCTCTGCTCAGCGTTCACGGCCGAGCAGGCCACCTACAACCACGTGAAGCTCCACCACGGCTACACCAACATCATCGGCCTGGGCGACTCCAGCACCTGGAAGCTCCCTTTCCTGAACCGCTACGTCTACATGTTCCTCGCGCCTCTCGCCGTGCCCGTCATCACCCCTCTTGTGGCGCTGGGTGCGTGTCCGGGCCGCGCGAGGAAGGGGCCTTAGGCTCTCGGGGAGGTTTCACCCTGCCACATCTGGGCACATCTGGGCGGTTGAGGTGGGTGTGCAGAAGGGGTGACGCTGCTCGCTGGTTCATCAGGATCTGCTCCAGCGAAGGTGCTTCCTCCATCTCTTCCTCACCCTTCGGGCTCCACACGCTGGTCCAGCCTTGCAGGCTGTGGGGAAGGCTGCCGTGAGCGCTGGGTGCCCCCGGAGCTGCTCTGCCCCAGCTCAGGGCCCGGCTGCGGCAGGGCTCCCGTTGGCACACGGTGCCGGGGTGCAGGGCTCAGGCTGCTCCTTGGCAGAAGCTCCGTCCGGCCACGCGGTGCCTGGGCAGCAGCGGTGGTGCCGGAGCGGGATCACGGGAGAAAGGCTCCGAAACGCCGGATAAGGAGGCGCAGCCCTGCTGGCCTCTGGGGCTGGGTGTGCAGCCCTGTACAGGGCCAAGGAAAGCAGAGGATGACTTGGCAAATGGAAGGACGGGGTTGATTCAGCTCCATTTTCCTACCCTACCTGGTTGCAGAGGAGGGAGCAGGATCTGCTGCTGGTTTTGCTCTGTTCTTGACCAGGCAAGCTCCGTCCCTCTCCGAGGAATGGGGCCAGGAGCATCTCTGTGCTCCAGACCATTAAATGAGTCCTTGAGGTGCTCAGCAGTGTTGGGGCTCTCCAGCCAGCCCAGAGCCTGGGGAAATGGGCCAGCAGGGAAGGACAAAGGCAGCGCAGGGCTGCAGGCGGGTTGCGCGTGTGCACAGCCCAGGCCTCCTACCACCTGCTGCCTTTCCTTCCCTTTGCAGATTTGCTGCGGAGTGTCAAGTGGACAACAGCTCTCCGGACCGTTTGCTTCATGTTTCTGGGTCTTTATTCCCACTACTGGATTCTGCTCCACGTCTCAGGCTTCCAGTCTGCCTGGTCTGCTCTGCTCTGCATGCTGGTCACCCGCTCCCTCCTTGCACATCCCTATATCCATGTAAACATCTTCCAGGTAGGAACACTAAGCTCCAAGATGTCCCAACAGCCGTGGCAAAGGGCCAACCACCACACAGTGAAACAGCCCTGGCGCTGCTGGCAAGCAGGGCACGGGCAGGATTTCCTGTGGTCTCCTGCATGCTGGATTCGGAGCAGAGGAGGTTCAGACCCAGAGTGACAAGGAGGAAAACGTTGATCCCAGAACTGTTGGGAGAAAGTCTGGGGAGGGTAAATGCAAAAGGCTGTATTGAGATCTCCTCACTGCTAGGATGAATTGTGGTGACCTATGGATTTGTAGGGTCGTGTTGCGTTTATGCTGTTGTGGATGAAGCTGGATAGCCCTGGGCTGGAGAGAGGCACCGGGGGATGGAGCCCGGCTGCTGCACGGTGCTCTGTGCCTGCAGGCAGCCGGGCTGGGGCAGCGGGAGGGCCAGGGCCGGGCAGGGGGCCGCGAGCTGCCCCCGCAGCGCCGCCGGCCTCCCCCGCAGCACATCGGGCTGCCCATGTTCGCGGCCGAGCGGAAGCCCGCGCGGATCCGGCTCATGAGCCTCGGCGTGCTCAACCTGCCCCGCAACGCGCTGCTCGACTGGGCCTTCGGCCACTCGCTCATCAGCTGCCACGTGGAGCACCACCTCTTCCCCAGCCTCTCCGACAACATGTGCCTGAAGGTGAGGGTGGTGGTGCTGGATGCAAACACAGAAGCCTGCGCTGCCCCCGGTACAGCCTGCCTGGGGTAATTCTGCCTTGACCCTTGCAGATCAAACCTATCGTCTCCCGATACCTGCGGGAGCAGCGGCTGCCCTACAACGAGGACTCCTACGCGTCCCGGCTCCGGCTCTTCCTGCAGAAATACGAGGAGCTGATGGTCCACGCTCCTCCCATAACAGAGCTGGTCGGCATCCAGTAAGCCCCAGCCACTGTGGCACCGTGGTGGCTTCGGCAGCATCGGCACACAGGACACTCGCCTCCATAAAGCAGCGCATGGGAAGCCTGTCCCTCCCCAGTGTCTTGCTTTCGTGGTGGGTCAATCCCCAGAGCCAGGACTTGGTTCTGTCCCCTGGCAGAGGCCAAGGACAAGGAAAATCCCTCCCTGCGGCTGTTTCCCCCTGCCAGGTCCGCAGGGAGGAGGGGACGGGGGCTGCAGGCCGGGCAGCGCAGCGTCCCCAGGGCAGGTGCCTCGGAGCCCGGTCATTACGAGGCTCCTGCAGGACCAACAGTGAAGTCCAGTGCCGGGTGCCGGGGGCAGACATGACCCGTGGGCCTGGCCGGGCCACGTGGGGGCTGCGCCAGGGCTGCCCCAGCCCCTGCCCCGAGCCGGCCCCTCGCCCCACAGCGAGACCCGCTTTTCCTGGGGGCCATGCCAGGGGGAAGAGGAGGAGGAGGAGGAAGGCTCTGGGTGATGCAGTGCCCTGGGGTGCCCCAGCGGGCTCCGCAGAGCAAAGGCTCCCTGGGCATACAGGGCCCCAGCACCAGCCTTGGCGGGAGAGATGGAAAAGTGCCTTTTGTAGCCCATTTCTCTGGTGGGATTGAGGAAAGTGTTGAAGAAAGAGGGCTGTGGATGAGGGCACCACAAGAGGGATTCGCCCAGGGAGCGTGCAGGGTTTGCGCTCCTGCCGCCCCCGCACATTGTGAAACGGCCAAGGGCAAATCCCAGCCCGCCGAGCCCGGGTTGCACCAGCTCCCGAGCGGCGACGTGAGCACGGCTGGCGCCGGGCTCAGCAGCCCTGGGGCCGCTCCGCTCCCAACAGGCGTCCGCAGCCAGTGATCCGGGCGGCAACGTCTCACGGATTCTCCAGCCCTGCTCCAAGAGGAGCACAGAGTTCAGTGCCGTGGCAGCCCCACAGGGCTCTAAAGTGCCGGTGGGAGCAGCCGCCCTTTCCAGCCAGGCCGCGTTGCAGCCGGTAGCGTTTCGTGTAGTGCTGGCTAAAGGCAAATATTTGAGGCACTTTAGTCAGCGGGACATGACCTGTGAGCTGGGGAATATTTGCATTACTCCTTGTTGGAAATGGCAATTACAGCAGAGGTTAAGTGGAGGCACTGGCTTTTCCTCCCCAAAGCAGGATTCCAGCATTCCCTGCTCAGAGGCTTCCGAACTGCTGCCTCAAGTAATTCCCACCTCCCCAGCTCTAAATCTGGCTCCTTTTGCAGATGACATTAATGCAGCTAGCTCGAAATCACAGTTCCAGCCTGGTTTCGCTGGGTGGTGGGTGGAAACTTCTCTTGGGCTGGGGTTCTGGAGAGGGGACAGGGATGGTGAAAGCCTCCAGAAACGCTGGTCCTCCCTGCAAACGCCCCAAAGGAGCTGAAAGATAAGGGCACGGGGCCAGCTCGTGTTGTCCTCGCGCTGCTGCTGAAGCCACGAACCAGTTTCGAAGACCGTGAGCAAAAGCACGTGGGTTTTATGGCCCTTATTAAACCAGCTTTCAGCTGCAAACGCCTCTTAGTCTCAACTGCTTTTCAAAACTCCTTTGGTGCTCGGCTGTGTGTTTTGGCCTCCCACGGTCTTGAAACGTCTCCCGGGCCTGTCCAGCCGGGCGCCCACAGGCCAGGGCTCCTCCTGCACCCGCTCCCGTGGTTAGCAGTTGAGTTTGGAATGAGCCAAGCGAGGGGAGTCAGGAAGGAGGGAAACAGAGACAGGTGAAGCTTCATGGACTGTCACAGAGCCGGAGCTTGGCAGGGCAGTTCACACACCAGCACTGATTTATTCCATCCTTTATAGGGAGGCAGCTGCAGGTAAAGGCACCATCTCCTCCTTCCCTCTCCCCTTGGGGGCAGCTGGGTTCGGGTCCATGCGGAGCTGCTCCGGTACCCGAAGGAGGGGGAGCGGCGGCCCCGCGGCGCGGCCCCGCAGCGCCCGCGCTCCGCGGAGGTCTCACCATAGAGACCCGCGGCTCGCCGCCACACACCCTCCCCGCCCCATCTCTCTATGGTACGGCCGACTTCCGCGTGCAGCACGCGCACGCTGCCATTGGCTACCGGCGAGGGGGCGGGGCTACGCTAAGCGAGTAGCAAGCGAGAAGGGAGGGATGGCGGCCGGGATGGGACAAGCGGCAACGAACCTGATTGTTTTTATTTATTTATTTATTTATTTTTATTACAGGTTTTTATTTAGTAACTGTGCGGTTTGTTCCTCCTCTGCGCCCGGGCCGCAGTCTGAGCCTCACGCTTCCGTCTTTTCCAGGATCCAGTCCGCGTAGTGCGCCACGTTGGTGTAGACGCCGGGCTGGCGCGGGCGCGCGCAGCCCTCGCCCCAGCTCGTGATGCCCGCCAGGAACCAGAGCTCGTCGTGCTTGCAGGAGAGCGGCCCCCCCGAGTCGCCCTGCGACACAGGAGGGGAACAAAGGGGCAGCCCCGGCCGGGGAAACCTTTCAGCACGGTTTCCTCGAGAGCTACACTCACAGAAGTCAGCAGCACTCGGTGCTCACACCAGCAAAACTCCACGTTTCAGATACTCCCACCTAAAGCTCATTTACACAGTGGTCAAGCAGATGTTACTCTTTTTTCCCCTAGTAAATTGACTTCTGAGTATTTCCCTGGCATTGCAATACATTTCAACTTCCCATTAATGTCCAAAACAACTGACAAATGTACATGTATATTTATGTACCTATATTGATTTGAAACCCAATGAAAAAGACCATATGCACAACCAAGAAAAATACAATGTTATTAATATAACCATTAAGGAAATTACCAATGGAAAATATATTTGCCATTTTTGTTCAAGAGTAAAAAAAGCAGAGCATGTGAAGCCACGTTTTGACACTTTGAAATTTAATAATGAACTGACGAGTCTGCTCAAATTGTCTTTAGTCCATTCCCCATGTAAGTTAAATGATAGTTCTGTTTGTAACTGTGTTTTTGTTCTTACTATAAACAGTTTAATTATGGTTTGCAATAGTGTATTTGCATACGTTACTATATGCTTTTTTACCTTACAAGCATCCTTTCCACCGTCTTCGTAGCCGGCACAGATCACCCTGTCATCTATGTTGCGGTGTCGGTACCTCACCTGGCACTCCTCTTTTGACATGAGGGGAACAGTGACCTTCTGAAGAATGTCTTCGACGCGACCTAAGCAACATACAGGTTAGAGCAAAGAAGTGTTTAGTCCTAGCGAAAGAAAAACTTACATTAAAATCTAGAAATCCTCATATGGTGATACTATAAAGTTAGAGGCCACCGCTTTTAGAGTGATGTTGGCTTCTGTGACACTGTCTTTCCTTTTTCTTTGATAGCACCCAACATTGACCATTAATAGGAGTATTTTGGTAACACCATTTTACCAGCATGTACCTCTTTCTTTCCTGTAACCCCATCCAGTCACCCAGCAGTTGGTATAAAGTGTGTCAGCATCTTCTTTCGATGGCAGGCAAATGGGTAGTTGAAGATCTAAAATACAATTTGAAATGTTAATGGCCAGTAGAAATACTTAAAACATTGAAGTTTCACAGACACCCAATGCAAGCCCTGGTGATAGGCTTTATGTTTTGTCTCTTATATTATGGATTGCCCCAGTCATATAAAGAAAAGCCCCCCATGCTTTCTTCAAAGCCAACTGAGTATGATTGTTCTCAAACCCCATTAATTGCATATTAAAGGAAACCAGCCCAAGCTTCATGAACTGCAAGAACAAAACCATCCCTACAACATCCTGCACGTTTTCAGAATTCCTCCGGAATACTCTACATACCAGTAAAATTCATAGGTGTTTCCAGTTTCATTAAGGCAATGTCATATCCCATCTGCGCAAATTTATACTGAGGGTGAACAATAATCTCTTCCACTCTGAAGAAGGGCGCTTCTGCTTTTATTTCCGATTGTTTTAAAATTCCCGCATAAACACGCCAGATGTTGGGATTTGCAAGACTGTGGGAGAGAGACAAACAGTCAGTGTGGGGCACACGGATTGGCACTGCCTCGGAGCTGGCATGCAGGGGTCAGCTCCTGAGCGCCCAGGGAAAGCCCTGAGGCACCCTCCCCATTTCTGTTTTCACATTCTCAAGCTCTAAATTTTGAATTTTTTTATACGAGAATATATAAATATGCTAGTTGCTTCCAAGCAACAACATCTACTTCTTATTTTTAAAATATATTTCATCTTTTTGCCCTTTAACATGCTGACAACTTCTACAAACATGGGATGGCAGAAAGATAATCACGTTCTTTATATAAGGTTATAGGGGGCTCAGAGAGTATAACCACTTTAATAGCTTTTGTCTGTAAAGGTCAAATGTTAGCAAAACTATTTCACACTAAAGTTAGATTACTTAAATTGGTGTGTCTAATTTCAGCCCGTGTTGCTGAGTCAATGTTCTCATCTTTGAAACATGTTACCTGTTACTTGTCCCAATACAGAACTTTAACATTTTCAATGTATAAGTACCAGGATAAGGTGCTTTACAGATGCAGACAATGTAACAAAGAAAATGGATCCCCTGTACGTCAGTAAAATCAGCTCTTCAAAACAGGAGTGGCTTCATTACCCAGATCTGATGGTAACTTGGCCTTCAACAGCAATACATACACTTAGCACCCACCTCACAACACAGTGAGCAGCTGTAAGAATCCACTGGTTGCTGATGATGGAGCCTCCACAGATGTGTCTCTGTCGAGACAGCTTCACGTGCAGGCTTACTTGCCAGGGCCACTCGCCAGGCGCTGAGTCGGTCCCTCCAACAATCCTTATGCTTTTTTCAGAATGCTGCATACACACTGCAGAAATAAGTCAGAAAGGGTAAAGATCATTTTCACTCACCAGGGAAAAGACAAAGATGAACTGGGTCCAATCTTCTACTAAAAGGTAATACATTTCTGATTGTAATGTTTGTTATATGCTAAACATCATGACCTTGCTTATATGTTTACAAGGTATATGCTATGCAGGATTGTAATAAACTATGTTCTCTTTCAGAACACACAAGAAGTCTCTTTACTATTTCAATGCTCTCTGAGTGCTAGGGAGGCTTAGGCT